TGAAGTTGGAGAAGTACGTCCACCGCGTGGAGGGCGCTCTGCAACGGTTAGAGGCGTTAGCCGGCGGCCGTTGCGGCAACGGCTCTTCCCACGGCGGAGCCAGAAGCGCAAGCGGCGCTGCTTCGTTGAAAAAGATCTCCCCTCTCGACCGCCAGGGAGGAGGAGGAGGAGGAGGAGGAGGAGGAGGAGGAGGAGGTGGTGGTGGTGGTGGTGGTGGAGGTGGAGGAGGAGGAGGAGGAGGAGGAGGAGCCAGATCCACCGCCTCGCAGTCGCGTCCCCAGATCTCGCAGGCCCCTCGCGGCACGGTGGACATGGACACCTGCCCGCTCCCGAGGGGGTTGGCGAGCCTCCATATCTCCTGGCATCGCTCGGACGTGTGCATTTTTCCTGCGGCGAGGGCCATCGAGGAGCATCCTTGATCACTTGGCGAAACAACCACGCACGAAACCGAAAGAAGCACAGGGAATGGACGTCCGAGCGATGGCGAGATCTTCCGTTCCGCTGGCATCCGGGGCAGGGCTCCAGTGGCTGTGGCCGTGAACGATTCGTGGCGGTGCACTCCTTGCCTGTCACTGGGGCCAATCCGCAGCCATGGGGCGCCCTGCGGCCTTCCCACCGCTATTGCCATCCCTCCTGCCACTCCGAGCCCATCTCCATGCCTTCCTCTCTCCCCCCTCTTCCTTGTCCGCCTCGCCCTCGCCCACCCCTGCTCGTTTCCTCCTCGTTTCCCTGCCTTCTGCTGGTAATCCTCCGATTATCCTCTGAGCTTGTCTCGTCGCCTCTCACCGGCCTGGCCGCAGGAGGGGGCGTTTCAAGGTGCAGTCCGTGGAGAGGCCGGACGACGAGAACTCTATCGACGACCGCTCGACGACATCAGAGAGGCTCGCACTGGGGCTCTTGCTGTGCTCCCCTCCAATTCTTTCACTTCCCCTCAATCTTCGGCACAGGCTTAAGTCCATACGGAGTAAGTCCATACGGAGTGCTCGGTCTCTTGGGCTTAGTTCGTCTGGACTTAGCTTCACCTGATAGGAGGCGAAGTCCGAAAGAGCGCGTTCTGTGGTCGCTTGGAGGGGGGGGGTTGGAACGGGACCCCCCCCTCCCCTCCCCTACTTCTCCTCTCTCCCTCTCCTCGGGCCTGCGCCGGCGTCGGCGGCGGCTGGCGGCGGCGGGGGTGCTGGTGGTGGTGGTAATGGTGGTGGTGGTGGTGGTGGTGGTGGTTGTGGTGGTGAGGTGGTTTGCGGTGGTTGTGGTGGTGGTGGTGGGTTGTGCTACTGGTAGTAGTGGTGGTGGTTTGTGGCGGTGGTGGTGGTGGTGGTGTGGTACACCGTGGTGATGGTGGTGGCAGTGGTGGTGGGTTGTTGTATTGGTGGTGGTGGTGGTGGTGAGCTGTTGTGGTGGTGGTGGCTGTGGTGGTGGTGGTTTTGTGGTGGTTTGGTGGTGGTGGCGGGTTGAAGTGGTGATGGTGGTGGTCGTGGTGGTGGCGGTGGTGGTGGTGGCGTTGTGGTTTGTCATGGTGGTGGTGGTGGGCTGTGGTGTTGTTGGTGGTGGTGCTGCTGCTGGTAGTGGTGCTGGTGGCGGTGGGTTGTGGGTGGTGGGTGGTGGTAGTGGTGGTGGTGGTGGTGAGGTGGTTTGTGGTGGTTGTGGTGGTGGTGGTGGTGGGTTGTGCTACTGGTAGTAGTGGTGGTGGTTTGTGGTGGTGGTGGTGGTGGTGGTGGTGTGGTAGACCGTGGTGATGGTGGTGGTAGTGGTGGTGGGTTGTTGTATTGGTGGTGGTGGTGGTGGTGAGCTGTTGTGGTGGTGGTGGTGGCTGTGGTGGTGGTGGTTTTGTGGTGGTTTGGTGGTGGTGGCGGGTTGAAGTGGTGATGGTGGTGGTCGTGGTGGTGGCGGTGGTGGTAGCGGTGGCGCGGTGGTTTGTCGTGGCGGTGGTGGTGGTGGTGGTTGTGGTGGTGGGCTGTGGTGTTGTTGGTGGTGGTGCTGCTGCTGGTAGCGGTGCTGGTGGTGGTGGTGGGTGGTGGGTGGTGGGTGGTGGTGGTGGTGGTGGTGGTGGTTGTGGTTGGTGGTGGTGGTGGTGGTGGTGGTTGTGGTGGGGGGTGTGGGTGGGTTATGGTGGTGGTGTTGGTGGTGGGTTGTGGGATGGGATGGTTGTGGCGGGTTGGGGTGGTGATGGTGGTGGTAAAATGGTGTGGTGGTTTGTGATGGTGGTGGTGGTGGTGGTTGGTTGTGTAGGTTGTGCTGGTGCTGGTGGTGGGTTGGTGGCGTTTTTGGTGGTGGTGGTCGGTGGTGGTGGTTGTGGGGTGGTGGTGGTGGTGGTGTGGGTGGGGAGAGTGTTTTGTGGTGGATGGTGGGGTTGTGGTGATGCTGGGTTGTGTGGTGGCTTGTGGTTGGTGGTTATGTGGTGGCTGGTGGTGGTGGGGTGGTGGTGGTGTGGTATGGTGTCTGTGGTGGTGGCGGTGGTGGTGGTGGTGTGGCTTCGGCTCTTACCCCATTAACGCATCCTTATTTGTTGTCTCCTGTTCTTTTTTTTTTTTCTTTTCTCTCTGCAAAGGGTCAGAGTTCTAATGGACGCCTCTTGAGGTGTGGTCAGAAGGATTTCGGGGGCGTCTGAGGAGCATGCGAGGGCTCGATATGGCGATTTGTGTGTGTTCCCTCTGCGGCCTTTGGGCCCTCTCTGGTCATCGTCGCTGCGTCCCCGCCGTCGGCGCTGCTGGCCGCCGCCAGCGCCGGCGCCGGCGCTGGGGGAGGTTGCTTTGAATCTCCCCCCCCCTTCTTGGGCCCTCTCTGGGCATCGTCGCTGCGTTGGCGCTGCGGCTACCGCCAAGGGGTTTGGGCCCACCCCCCCCTCGGGAAGGGGAGGGGGTTAGGGGGGAGGGGAGGGGAGTCCCCCTGGTTCTGATCGACGACGCTGAGTGTTTTGGGGGGGGCCCACCCCCCGGTTCGAAACGCGCCGCCGAATGCTCCCAAGGCAAGCGCCCGTGAAACGCGCTCTCTCCTGAGTTCACAAGGAGTAAGTCCATACGCAGCGTTCGGTCTCCGTCTGGGCTTACACGCCGGTCGTTGAAAGTGGGTATTCTTGGATTCAGATTCCAATATATTTGGGACGCATTTCTACTTCAAGAGTCGAGCGGTTTGCCCTCCTCCCTCCTCTTCGGGGGGCGGGCGGAAGCCCAACGTGCTTCCAATGCCTTCCTGCTTCCTGTTTCTCTCTATTTCTTCCGACCGACGGATGCTCCGTCTGGACCGAGCTTCCGAAATCTGGGGTCACCCGCGGGGGGGGGAAGGTCGGCGCGCGTCGCGCGTTGTCGTGGCCTTCGTCGGAGAGCTGCCCTGCTCCAGGGTGGCCGAGAGGGGGCGCGAAGGTCTACTGGGGGGAAGGTCGGCGCGCGTCGCGCGTTGTCGTGGCCTTCGTCGGAGAGCTGCCCTGCTCCAGGGTGGCCGAGAGGGGGCGCGAAGGTCACCTCGCGGCACAGGTCGCGGAAGCGGGTGGCCTGGCTCGTCGTCCTCCTTCGCCCCGGCTGTTGCTCTGTTCCTTCTCCTGTCCGGGGCAACGCTGGGGGGGGGGAGGCTCAGGGATGAGCGCGGGGAGGGTCAGGGGCAAGGGCAAGGTTAGGGGGGGGTGGGGGTAGGCTCAGGGTGGGGAGTTTTCGACTGTTGCCTGGAGCTTTTTGATAGCTTCTGCGGCCCCAGGTGGTCTCCATCAGGTGCGCCTCGTCGAGGGCGTCCCAGGGCTGCCGGAATCGTCCCGAACGGCCGCCGGAGAGCCGAGTTATGACTTGACAACCAGGGGGCAACGACAAGGGGTGGGACAGGCTCAGGGGGACGACGTCGGGGTGGTGTGGTCTATATTTGTGTCCCCATTTTCCCGAGGATACAGCAAAACATGTATACACCAGGACCCCGTATGCACCAGAGTCCGCGTTCCTGTGCGAACTTCGGCGCAGGGGTCGGGAAGAGCGTCGGTGCATACAGCTCGTTTTCCTAGCACGGACCCCCTATCTCGGGGGTGGACAGAACCCCCAACAGTGACACGTCGATTAGTGAATTGTCCGTTTTCGGTTCTCGAGGGGGCGCCGTGGCCGTTATTTTCCAGGCTTGCGCCCGCCAGGTTTGGGCCTCAGGTAGTTCTCACTAAACCACGTTTTACTAAAGGGGGGGTTGTCCATTCCCGACTATCGCCCCATGCATCCCCGATAGGAGCCCGGGTGCCCCATCCCGCCCAGGACGCGGAGGCGTGCGGATTCGCGTCCGGCCCGACACCGGGGGAACGACGACAACGGTGGGACAGGCTCGGGGGGCTCGGGAGGGGGCAGTGGAACGGGCGAAAAGGGGGATTGGGAAAAAAGGGGGCCGGGGGTGTTACGAACATTTGCTTGCATGCAGCGGTTTTCGGCCTCACCGGGGGCCCATTCCTCGTGCAAGCCGCTTCCGCGCAGGGACGGCCGCCGGAAATCAGCTACGTGAGCTGATTCTCAAACCCCCCCTTTGCTATCCCCCCCTTTCGCCCGACCCGAGGGAGGCATGGGCCCCCTTTCGCCAATGCATCGCCGACGAGGGCCCGGGGGCCCCATCCCGCCCAGAAGCAGACGCGTGCGGATGCGCCACCGGGGGCATGTCGGCGATCCGTCGACGACGTGCCGCCGATGCCGGCTCCGTGTGCTTCCCCTTTGGGCCGGCCGCCCCCCGTCGTTGACCTTCATTCAAACGACGCGACGATCGGGACAAAATCGGATCGGGATAATTCGAAATCTCTGAGAATCGGCGGGTTTGGAGGATGTATTGGGCGCCGCGGCCGCTCCAGAGCGTTTCCGAAGGCTCTTGATGGAGCGCTTTTTTTTGTTTTTTCCTTATTTATTTTTTTTTTTTTCTTTTATTTTTTTTTTTTTCTTTGTTTTTTTTTTTCTCTTTTTTCTTCTTTTTTTCTTTTTTATTTTTTCTTTTTTTTTTTTTTTTTTTTTTGTTTTTTTTTTTTTTTTTCTTTTTTTTTTTTTTTTTTCTTCTTTTTT